CCTGGTTAAAGGTTAAATAAAAAAATATATTTTTAATAAATAATAATGAAAACATAATCGATATTTTAAAATATTTATTATTATTATTTATTTATTTATTTATTAGCATTTTACAAATCTGCAAGTTGCATTAAGACATTCTCCACTCTGTCACAGGTGCGATACGTCTCGGACTTCTTCAAAGAGCGCCCCCCTCGCTGTCCGGATGTTGAAAATGCTGAAAACGAAGACGGCGAACGTAAGCCCAGCCTTCAGATCGCAGACACGGACAGAAACCATTACTCCTACAGCAGGCCTGCATGAGCGTGACCTTTGACCTGTGAGAGCACTGGATGCTGCAGCACGTCTCGTACAGACAGCCACACACTGTACACTGGCACTGACTGCGCTCTCTTCCACAGGACAACACTCCCATTTCACACAGAGAGAGAGAGCGCGAGTGAATGCATGAACTAACACTGAATATTAGATTTTATACTTCTTTACAGACCGTGTTTATACCCAGATTTGTCCTATGCACGCTCGATCAAGTGCACAGATCGCCTGACATCTAATGAACCGTGAGGGACTTTATTGTATCAGAGCACAAAGACGAACTTCTCCAAGGGGAACTGCTCGTTTCCATGACAACCTCAAAACCACCGGTTGACATTTACTGACTCGCTGTACTTCTGCTGTCGGCAGCGATTCTTTCGGAATGGGAAAGAAAGTGAACTATTCTAAGCCATCAGAAGACAAGAATTCATGAACATGAAACAGATGCCAAAAAAGGTCTTTCTCACATGGTCAATTAGACATTTTGTTCGGTTATATATATATATACATATATATATAAACTGGATTATAGTGACTATTATTATTTTTATATATAAAAAATTTTGTTTTACTGGGGCGGTAGGATTAGGGACTTTTTCTAAACTTAACATTTTGGTAAACTAGTTATTATATCTGCACACGTCTAGAAGAAATTCTGCATAACATGAATAATCTTTATAAAATAATACTTTTTATGTTTAATTTGCTGAAGAATACCATGACAACTCGTGATTTCAATCTAGTTTTGTTGCGTCGCTCGCTCACATAACTGTTTAATGAAAACCACTAGCTAACCAAGGCACATATATATCGATGTATTTCATGGAAATTAGTCTTACTAACCATCCTATCCAGCAATAAGGATTAGGAAATATTAACTATCACATGTAAAATGTTAAACCGCTGTTTATCTCTGAATATGATCACCACGTCCAAACCAAGTGAACGAATGCTGCTTGTTATGTTAAAATCACAGCCAATCAAAAAGCTGTATGGTGATTCTGAACCAATGACGATTCACTAAGGGGCGGAACTACTCAACATGACAAAAAACGTACGCTTGTAGATTAAAATGGATTTGCAGAATGTTGTACTGAATGTTTCCACAGCATCATGATTGTTTAGTTTTATGTGCCTATTTCCAGTGAAAAATGCCTGTCAAGATCACCAGCGAATTCAAGAATCGGATTGATTTTCTTCACGTCACGCCTTGGCATATGATGAAATGTCGATTTAAACAGGTTTTAAACGTAAGGTGCATTTAAACATTGTTTTCGCTCCCCTATATCTCTCCAGAGACCATTGTTTCCCAGGATTTTGTCTCCGTTCACATTTATCCCTTACTCTAATTTACCTCGTTTTATCTAGTTCTAATTTATGTTCATTTGGAGCTTGAACTGAGTCTCGGGATCGAGCTCCTCCTCCCAGGAAAATCACATTTGTTTGTCGGACAAAATAGCAGATTTGGCGTTATGATTGGTCAGATCGCCTGCCAATCAAACATCAGGCAAAGGGTCTGGATGGGCGGGTCACATTAAAATATGAATAATAATAAATTGGGATACAAGCATTATAAAGTGGAAAAAGTATTTGGGCATGCTATCTTGTCTTAAAATCCTCCAACCCCCTTTGTCGTACAATTTGCGCTAGAATTATCTGAATTAATTACCTTAAAATTATCTTTAGGTTTAGACACTTGCTGCGTTCACGCCATATCGCAATTACCGTAATTTCGAGATGACCGCACGTGACGTTCTACTCTGAGCTGTTCACGTCCTCGGACTCGGAATTATGCTTTTCTATGGCAACACTACCTGCGTTCCATTCGGAAGAGCTTATCTCTATGCCCTAATCCCTTCAAAGGGTTTACCCTCCGGAGTGAGAGCTTCGAAGGGTTGAAGGGTGTAGGGGACCAAACAACTGTTTCTTGAAGTGCCCTTCTGCGTCATCATCAAGTGCCCATACGGAGGCGCCGTCATCATGCAAAGAATCTGCGCAAAGGATCATGGGAGCACAAGTGTCCATCAGTTGTACCCTTCGAAAACCTTCATTCCGAAGGGCCCTTTGAAGTGGCCAGTTTTGAGCAACTCGGTTTGGAACGACCCTTCAATATGGCGGCCATGATTGTTTTCACTCCGAAGTGCCCTTCGGAGGGCGATATATCCCGTTTGGAACGCACTGACTATCAACGCCTAAACCGAGTCTGCAGTGGTCAGGTGGTACAGCGGTCACGTGGTACAAGTCGTAGCTCTCAGAAAACTCCCAGTTCACAAGTTGTAATTACGAGTTCTACGAGGACGTGAATGCTTTTTACAAGTTGGAATCTCGTAATTACGGGAATTCCGATATGGCGTGAACACACCTTTATTCGACAGCTAAAAAGTAGAACATCACATAGTCCTCCTCTTCTAAAATAAATCATGTATTCTGGCATACATTTAAACTTCCCCTCACACCTATTATGTTATTAGTGTGGGGAAACTTTTATAAAAATAAAAACTTTCCCTCATGTTATATATGGAGGAAAAACAATCTTTTTTTTTATTATTAAATTAAATTTTTCCGTTCCCCGCTCACCTATTATGTTGTTTACGGAAAAAAATACATTCCTTTGTTAGTTGACAGACTAGTTTGAAGTTGTTGACAATCGCTCATGTAAACCCTGCACAACAGAACCTGCTGTCTACTGTGAGTTTCTAATGCTGCAATTTTTTATGGACACTATATTTAGTGAATATGAATGATGTCTCCCCCCTTTTTTGCTTCTATGTGGAACAGAGACTCTCTTGTGACTCTGATTTAGTCACAGAAATCCGGACGGCCTTAAAATAAATGAGGACTGAGCTCACAGAGTGACTTACACACTGAATGTGAAGAAGACTGGCTCATGTTTACACTTTTACCATTATGTGTAAAATACAAGTATTGTTTAGTTGAATGTTCCAGAGCAAAGATGAGTATTTTTGCAGGACTATTGTAAGTTTGTGCATATATATATATATATATACATACAACTTCGAGGATAATACATCATTTTCAAAAATTGATTGGTTGTGAAATATACATTATAAAAAATGTGCATTAATTTGCATAAATGAACATATTACTTTTCAAAGCCAAAAGAAAAAATATTGTCTGATTAAATTGAAGCTACTGAATTTTTTTTCTCTAAAAATTAATTATTCTAAACCACTTATGCTTAGAGCTCCAAACATTACTGTATATATGAACCAATTATTATTTTGTAATGATTGGCATCTGTGACTTTATAAGAAGTTTTGTGTGTATAGCATATAAATGTTGCACAAATAATTTTTTTAAATTTTCTTGGTATGTTTTATATTGGTTTATACCTAACATTCAAAATAATAATAAAAAAAATAAAAAACATCTTCTGCCGTAATGTTTCTGCCGTTCATCTCAAAACAGAAACGAATGAAAAGTTTTGAAACTATTCGAAGTTCACAGTGCGGATGTCTGTAATAGTTTTATCTTATCAGTTGTTAACACTTCATATTTCAATGTCTGTTATCTGGATTACATGTTTGCTGGGCCAAGTATTATTATTATTCTTGCTCATACTTGCTGTTAAAGGTTTGTTCAAATCACTAACCATACACGCACTGAACTTTTCCAAGCAATCAGATTTAATTATTTATAGCATGCTCACATGCATTTAAAAATATGATTTCATATTCAGCATGTGTCTTTAATTGGATGAACTATTGTGAAATTCAGTCCAGTGCCGTTCAGCCAAAAGCTCGTCCTTATCTAACACGGAGACGATTGTACAAGGGAATCATGGGAATTGAAGCAGCCAAAAATGTCACACTTAAGTCCTGCTTCTTTTCATCAGAATGGTGTTCAAGGACTGTTGATTCCTATCAGCTTTATTGTAACCAGGTAAATGATTCTCTGCAGGCAGGTCTGGAAACATCTGAGAAACACTGACTTCACATTTCACGTCCTCAAGGCAAAGCGTCCATTGTAATATTAAAGGGGTGGTTGACTGTTTTTTTTCTAGGCTTGATTGTGTTTATGGGGCGCAGTCTAACACGTGTTAATGCTTCGTTTAAAAAAAAAACAAAAATGCATTATTTTTCACATAATTTACCTTTATTCCACACCGCTCTGTCCCTTCTCCTATTGACGCGCTGATCATTTCCTGCTTTTATGAAGCCCCTCCCTCAAAAATACGTGATGGGCTCTGATTGGTTAGCTAGTCCAGTGTGTTGTGATTGGCTAAACCGCCTCTAGTGCGCATCTGAACGTCCCGCCCCTCACCTCGGCGGCATGTGCTCCGGTTGTATTGTAAACAATGGCGTGGTATATATCTCTTATCAGTTTGAGCCCGATTGAGACAGAGAATATTAGTGAAGAGGATCGCGCAGAACCTGTGCAAGCACGGCTCTTAATTGTATGTTTTTTGTTTGTTGTTGTCTCCTACTTTTAGATACGCTGTTATTTGTAAATGCTACTGCTTCGGTTAGCTTTTAATATACAGTTTTATCCTGATTAAAGCTTTAATACAGCACGGCAACCGCATAACGCTTCTCATAGCTATGTGAAAATAAGTGTATAAATGGAACGGTTCATTGTTTGAGCTGAGCTGGTGATCTGAATGAGAGAGAGAGAGATGCAGAGCGTGTGCAGCAGGGCGACGCGAGGAACATTGATTTTGAATCTTGTGTATCCATTAGAATTGTTAGAAGACAGAATTGCGATTCATATATAAATAGATGTTTTCGTGCACCCCTAGTTTTAACGGCATGGCAACAACTCTTCCTCTTCTCTATGGCCTCGCCCCCTTCGGTGCGTGTTCCCGGGGGCGGGGATTATCTGGGTTTGTGATGTCACAAACCCGGGAAGTAACTCGTTGTAGTCCCTACGAGCCGTTTTTGTAGGCATTAAACTGCCAGAATTTTAAAAGACGATATCTCCGTTTGCATTGAACTTTCAGCGCTGCAACTTTGCAGATATTGTTTATGCTCAAACAGCAACATTATACACTAACGTTAAAAAAGTGAAATCGCAATTAACCACCCCTTTAAAAATGTCTTTTATATATTGTCTGAAGGTGGGACTGCTTTCAGGCTGGTTTGGCTGTTTTCATTCATGCATTGTGTCATGGACACGTGACATCCTGCTACAAAGAGCTTCTTTACAGTCCATGTGATCCAGCAAAAGGAGTTTCTCCATTCAGCATGATTCTTGAGATGTGGGACAAAACACACAAAAAAGAAATTTTGAAATGAATGATCATTTAACCATTATCACAAAAGTACCATTTCATACAATCCTCCTTATTTGATCAAAATCGACAATCACTTACTATCCCTAAAATCAGCCATCCTCAGTTTAATACGTCAATACTTCTAAGTATATGTACAATAACTCAACAATTCGAATACAGGTGCATCTCAATAAATTAGAATGTCGTGGAAAAGTTCATTTATTTCAGTAATTCAACTCAAATTGTGAAACTCGTGTATTAAATAAATTGATAATTCAAGAAATGGAATTGAATCTGTATGGATGTCAACACATAATGAGTGATTGACAAGAAAAAAAAAACACATTTTGAGAGAAAATTGAAGCAAGTTTCACCAAAATTCAAATGAAATCCTCTGAACATGTTAAACCAAAATTTCATTTTGCACTTCTGTCCCAGTATTCAAGAATCAGTGTTAGTATACTATGAGAACACGACCCAAAAATGTTTCCAGCGCTTCATCCTCGAAGCGTTTTGGGATGTTTGACCTGCGATATTTCACGATGCTGTCTTACATCAGTCAGATAAAACTGTTCGGCCACTTCAGCCAAAACATTCGCTCATCTGGTAAATGATTTTAGATGCACTAAATCTATCAGTGTTTGACGTCAGCTGAGCAGGTTTCAAGTCATTTTTAACGATTAGTGTTAATACCATAAAAGCTTGCAAACAAAGAGTCGAGCCATTCCATTTGCATAGATTGGGAGTGAAGATCTCAGAACTAGTTCCACATGGAGCAAAGCAAACATAAACCTGATCAGATTGATATGCGTTTGATTATAGCGCAGCCTAGTGTTAAAATCAAGCAAAACAGCAACGGTCTCGAGTTTGTTCAAAGCCTGAACTGTCCTGGTTTACAATTAAAAGAGACGTTCTGTGTACATTATCCAAAGGAGAGAAACTGCCACATGAATTCGTTTAATAAAATGAGATTTTAATCAACCTTTGTGTACTTAATATGTCTTTATTATGCATTAACCATTTTCAAATGCAATAAAGCACTCAAGATTATGCTGTGTTTTGAATATAAACACACTGACAACATCCTTTGACCATGATTTAATTTGCAACACAGCACAGAGTCTCATGCTTTGCTTCATTTAGCATCATAAAGTGAGTATTCATATATGAACAACAGAAGCCTGTTTATTACAAGCAAAACCAGCATCATTTCTCTTTGAATACGGTCTGAAACTAATGCTATGCTCAAGTTTTCTTAAAGTCTGCTTCAGTGAGGGGGAAGGGTGCGATGACTTCAGGGTGATTCCAGCTCTTTTCTGACACAGTTAAAAGCTCTGGGGGAGAAAGTGAAATGGTGCTATAACAGGAACACCTCAATGTCCATTTGTCTAGAAGTTCCCATGTCTTTGTTTTGAACTCGTTTTGACATAAAATTGGCAGTAAAAGCATCTCAGTCCATTTCTGTGTGGGAGATGACACGGAGAAGCCTGTCACACTGAAAGACAAAACAAAGCACACATGATTACACAACAGAAACCCAGTATTAGCTGCAGTTATTGAGCACATTAACACTGCTGGAGATGTTAAGGACATAAGAGGTTAGGATCTTACATCATTTCTTTTTATCAGCAATTTTCATGAAGAGATTTTGCTCATCACATCTAATGTTTCCTAACAGCTACAAAACTAATATCTCAAAAAATGTTAAGATTTTTTTTCATAGTCATTTTTTTTTTTGTCTTCACAATCTTTCATCAAATTCTAGGTATGCCCACTTGAAACTAATAGTTATTCAAATACAATTTTAATAATTAAAAATGTATTACTAATGGAAAATAACCCAAACTCTATTTTTTCCTCATTGACTATCTATTGTACTCAGAAACGTGTCACATTACCAAAGTAAAATGGGTTACAATTTACAAATGTGACCCAAAAGCAGTCTTAAGTCGCTGGGGTATATTTGTAGCAATAGCCAACAATACATTGTATGGGTCAAGATTATCGATTATCAAGATTATTTTTATTTTATGCCAAAAATCATTAGGATATTAAGTAAAGATCATGTTCCATGAAGATATTTTGTAAATTTCCTACTGTAAATATATCAAAACTTCATTTTTGATTAGTAATATGCATTGCTAAGAACTTCATTTGGACAACTTTAAAGGCGATTCTCTCAATATTTAGATTTTTTTTGCACCCTCAGATTCGTCGTATCTCAGACAAACATTGTCCTATCCTAACAAACCATACATCAATGGAAAGCTTATTTATTTATTTATTTATAAATTGACCCTTATGACTGGTTTTGTGGTCCTGGGTCACAAATGACTTTTTGAGAAATTAACAACGATTTTTGAAAATCTTTTACATTTTTATCATCAAGAAGTGTTTTAGTAAATATATTGTTTTAGACAATATAATCATTTAGACAAAATGATCATATATATTTAGATGTTGGCCTGAAGAAAATATGTTTATATATTAATATTTTAATAAAATCTATTTATTTATATTTATCTTTTATATTAAAATGCATATACATAAAAAAAAAACATATGATAATATTAAAGATTAATCAATTACGTGACAATAATAATGTGTAGTATATAAAAGTTACACTTTTACACACACCAGAACATATTACTCACCAGAATATTCAGCCTTCTTTCTAATTGGCTGACAGAGCTGTCAGACAGACAGCTGATTGGCTGATTACGCCCGGCGTGTGAGGACACAGATGCGGTTCGCTCAGAGGGCCACGAGAACGGATGAAGGGCTTCTGACAAGGCACCTGATGCCCAGGCCCGAGCGCTCTGGGGCCGGCCCCGTGCATTCTGGGAAGGGCGGGCTGGGGAGGGGTAGCGGCGGTCTTTCACTAGTCTCACTCCATGGGCTGGAGTGGGTCCTGTGAGGAAAACCAGATGTCAAGATGTATAAGCATTCGTCACTGTAAATGAATTGCAGGAATTGGAAAAACCATTTGGAGGCGAGCGAGAGATGAAATCACATCCCCCTGCCGCCCACGTTTACTGTAAGCGGTAAAAGCAAGAGTCAGGACGTACCTAGTGTTTGAGAGCGGGAGACGGGCCGCGGGCGGAGGACGAGAGAGGGCGGGGAGGTGCTGGAGAGCCAGGAGAGAGTGATTCATGGGACGCTGAAGGAGACGGAGATCTCACTTTCTCCTGAGAGCACAGAGAGTAAAACAAATAAACCACGCCCATGTCCACAGAAACTTCTCTTTTTGTTTTATTTTAATAATAAAAATAATTAGATACAATATCTAGGGCTCTGTGAAATCCATTTTATTTTTTCCAAAATTCTGTGGTTTAATTAAAAAAAAGACGTCTAATCAACTGAATACACAAACATTTAACAATGTAATCATTGAATAGAATTTTAACAACAACAGGGCAATATGAAATGCATATTTTCCCCCCTAATTTTGTTTTATTCTGTGCGGTTTAAATTTTTCTGGATTACGCTTTTAATTCAATTTTATTAAGAAAAAAGAATGCCTAGTTAGTTGAATCAACAATATTTTAACATTGTAATAATTTACTAAAATAATGGGGCCCTATGAAATGTGTTTTACATTTTCAAAAATTCCATGTTATTTTCCCCCAATTTCTGTGTTTTGGGTTTTAATTTTTCTGGATTACGGTTTTACTTTTTAAAATAAAATTGTAATAATCCAAAAAGATGTCTAATTAATGAAATCATAAATCTTTAACAATGTAATAATTTATTGAAATTTTTACAACAAGACGAGCCTATAAAATGTCTCTTTTTTTTTTTCCCTCCCAGAAATTCCATGATTGCCTTTTTCATTCTGGATTAGGTTTTTAATGGTTTATTAAAACTGTATTAATCAAAACATCTAATCTCTAATAAAAATAAATATAACAAAACAACAATTTCGTAACATTTTAACAATAACACTGCCCTATGAAGTCTGTCTACAGAAACTCTGTGTTGTCTGTTTGAATTTTTCTGGATTCTGTGCTTTATGATTTAATACAAACTTATTTTCAAAAATGGATGAAATTGCAACACTTTAATAAATCTTTTAAAAAAACTGGAACAATTCCTTTGCACAACAGAGGTTTACTGTTTATATTAAAACATGGATGAAAATGGTGTAATATTCCTTTAAAAAAATTATAAACTGTATTATTATTGTTATCATCACTTTAAGAAAACCAAACGTTTATTTTGGGGAGTTGTAGTGTAAGCCTTTGAGTTTCTGTGTGTATATGATGATATTTTCTCAGTGAAATGCTGGTAAAGAGACTCTCACCACCACTTCATATTTCAGTAGCAGTCTTTTGCAGTTTAATATCACAGACTCTAGCCATATTGTGATTTGATTAAGTGTACAGCCCTACTTTTGATCTGGTTATCCAAATTTTGACAAATTCCATGACTTTCTACAATTTTCATGACTGGTTTCTGTGATATAATAGGGGCCCTAGATATTTCTGATAAGCTATAATTTACCAAAACATTTAAATGGCATGAAAAGGACATAGTTAAACACATCAGTGGTCTGTTTCAGACCCTATTTTATGGGAATGTTGAGATGATTTCCTATCGATTCGTACCTGAGTGGGGCTCTTGCAGAGAGGCGAGCGCGGCTGAGAGCGAGGGGAGGAAGAGCCTTCTCTGGATGGATTCTTCCGGAGGACCGGAGAGCTGGTCAGTCCGTTCCCTTCCGTCGATCTGGGAGAGACTCCTGCGGGTGACGCGCTTTTCTGCAAACACAGACAGTGCAAGACCTCATCAAAAACTGCAAATCATGCCACCTTAAAAAGCAACTACAGCAGTGTTTGCCCATGCAAATGTCGCACAAGTATGACTTCTTCAACAGGAGGCAATGGGATTTAAAAGTATAATTTACAGTATAATTTAAAGCACAGACAAACGATGCAGGACGGGTTGGATGGTGCGGAAATTATTTGTTAAATTGCTGAAACAACTAACCCCATTCATGAACATTTTAGTGATGCTTACCTTAGCGAATACCACTAACAAACATGATTTCTGAATTTCTATTTAATGTTTCCTAATGTTTCTATTTTAATGTTCAATTTTTTGATGTTTCTGTTTACCAGGTAAACATGTTGTGATGCCAAATGAAGCTTTTATGACTAAAGTTTATGATTAATGAACCTGGTTAAATTGTACAATAGCTGTCATTAGTAATTCATTAAAAACATCATACAGTGTTTGATCAATAGTTTCTGTATTTTCAAATATGAACTTGTAGGAAAATATAGGAATCCAAGTATCATGACATTTCTAGAAATGTAAAGTTTGAACTAATGATCTATCAAACATTATATAATGTGATAAAACTTATGTTGTCAATGAATATTACCAAGTTCATAAATCAAAACCGACTGCTGGTGACTGTTGCGTAATGAAAGAAAGAGTTTTCACACCTCTTTATTGCTGTCTCTTCTGAGCGCGTCTTCATTTTTACCACCACTTTCCTGCAGGAAACACACATGATCAGACCAACCCAATCATGAGCTTAAAATAACTTCAGCAATGAGAAATTGGAGACTTTTGCTTAAATCTCTTGTTTCTCAGACTGTCCTCAAATTTCTCAAACTGTCCTCAGATTTGTCAAGATGCCAAAGAAAAGAAAAAAAGAAAGAAAATAGTTTTAAGCTGAAGCACTGACATAACTGGAAATAAATAAAAACTAAAACTGAACTAAAGCTAAAACCAAAATAATAATTAATTAAAGCTAAATAGTAATATAAAATAATAATATTAATAATAATAAAACGACAAAAGCACATAACAAAAAATAAAAATTAAACACAATTTTAAATAAAAACTGAAAATATAAAAATAAAAACTAATTCAAAATATTAATAAAAACCTGTAACTGTATATAAATAATACTAAAATAACAAACAAACAAGCATTTCTAATGAAATTTCAAAACTAAATTACAGCGCCGTTCTAACTACATTAAAGGGGTCATATGATGCGATTTCAATGTTTCTTTTCTCTTTGGAGTGTTACAAGCTCTTGGTGCATAAAGAAGATCTGTAAAGTTGCAAAGACTAAAGTCTCAAAACCAAAGAGATATTCTTTATAAAAGTTAAGAGTCAACCACACCTACCTAAAACGGCTCGTTCTAACACACCCCCACATGTCTACCTCACTATGTGGGAAGATTTGCATAACGCCGCCCAAATGTGCACGCAAAGAAAGAAGGCATAACTTATATTCTCGCTGTAGTATTGTTGTTGCCATGTCGTGAAGACGCTGTGTGTTTTGTTGTGAAAGAGAAACTACTTTGTTTGGTCTTCCAAAAGAGAACGATATCCGCTTCGTCATGCCT